CGACCAGTTGTCCTTGGAACATTGAAAAAAGAACAATCCAGAGGCAGTAATTCCAGAAAAACACTGAACTCACCAGGGCAGATCCAAGTCTCAGTGATGAAAAGAAAGTCCAGTTGGTTGCAGCAGAAAAAGTCGTTCAAAATAAAAGTTTTATTAGCCAGTGATCTGGCATTTATCAGGGCCATCCTCGTAGAATCCACCACAGGAGGAAATGATTGCAGTGTCCAGTCCAGCGGCCTCAGATTTGCAGAGTTAGACGCGCGCCTCCGGCAGGAAACCCAGCCTCGCACAGGCCCAGTGTGATGATGGGACCCCGACAGCGGGATCAGACAGCGCGCCACAGGATCTGTACAGCGCCAGGAGCGGAGGTGGAAACGCTCACCATCAGCTGGAGAGGATGATTCAGAGGCAGCAGGCAGGGCTTTAAGCTTCACCAGCCGGCCAGCGCGTTTTCCACGGCGTCTGGAGCGACGTCTCCGGGGAGGCAGGTGCGTGCCCCGCTGCAGGTAAGCAGGCACGTCCGCCAGCAGCGGGGGGACAGGGGGGGGTCCAGAGTTACGCTCATAATGATCAAAATAAGTGACATTGGTGCCACAAGGTCGAAGATCCAAAAGTTGTTTTCGGTCATACACCAGCAGAGCGTTGATGTCACAGATGAGAAATGAAAAAAACACCAAAAATACGAACACCATCAGCAGAGGTGGATTGCAAGCCATGTACACAGGCGCCAGCTTACCGGAATGTGTTTGCAAGAGTTTTGTGCAGCAGCAGAGACATTGTTGGTGCCAGAACAGATCCGTATGCCGACTGAAGAAATGTTCAGAGAAATGTCTCTTTACATTGAAAACAGGTGGGGGCTCCCACACTGTGTGGGTGCTATTGATGGCAGCCACATTCCCATCATAGCACCACAGCACTATTATACCAATTAGTTTATTCGAAAAGGTTGGCATTCCATTATCCTGCAAGCTGTTGTGAATGGAAGGGGACAGTTTTGGAATGTATTTGCTGGATTGCCAGGGAGCCTGCATGATGCCAGGGTTCTCAGACTGTCCACACTGTAGGAGCTAGCCAGCCGGGGAAACCTGTTCCCAGCTCATATCAGGAACAATGGCACAGCAAATACCGGCTACTACATCCTGGGTGACGCAGCTTATCCCTTGCAAGACTGGCTCTTAAAACCATTTTGTGACACTGGAAGGCTAACAGCAGAACAGCAGATGTACAACCAAAAATTTAGTAGTACACAAGTTGTTGTTGAAAATGCTTTTGGTAGGCTGAAGGGAAGATGGTGTTGCCTTCTAAAACGGAATGACTGCGATGTCCAACTTGTAAAGTCCATGGTGCTGACCTGCTGTGCACTACACAACCTGTGTGAAAGCCATGGAGAGTCTTATGATACTTTATTGGATGAACCTCGTGCAGAAGCAGCAGCACAGCCTCCCCAGGCAGCTGTGCAACAGGAAGTTGAAGGAAGAGATGTCAGAAATGCTCTAATGGACTACCTCCTGAGCATTATTTTTTAAACTGAATTCTTAATCCTACTTTATTGCCTTCCCTACTTGCTTTAAAGCCCTGGTATTTTCCTTTTGTATATATATATATATATATATAATAAAGATGTCTTAAAAATATCCTCACTTTTATTTTTAGATATGAACAAGGTTCTTGTTAAAACTGCTAAACACATCACACTTTGCTGTAATCAGTGAAACCGCTTTTACAATAAGCTAGATTTGAAAATAATTTGGTTTAAATTTGCCCTTAAATATAAAAGGTTTGTTTCATTAAATGTAAAAACAAAGTATTACTTATTAATTGTCATTTGATCTGGGAACTCCTTGTGGTCCTCCAAGAAGAACCTCACCGGTTGATGTCTGCGCCTCCCTGGTTATGCTGCTGCCCCCACGACCCGACTTCAGAATAAGTGGAAGATGGATGGATAGATGAAGACCAACACAGCATGAATGCTCAGTTCAGTTGAACATCTGCCTATTTGCCTCAGATGGGCTGTTAAAATCTCTGCGGTTCAAATAAAAGGTGCACCAGGGCTTTCAGCTGAATTTTTTTTACTGTTTTTGTCTGACTTGAGCATATAACCCAAAAATTTATAACATAAAAGTAGAGCAGATTATGACCATCTTTTCTTAGGGTTCATTAAAGGTCAAATGCAAATTGAAAATTTTCTTAACTTCAACTATGTATTTAAACAAAAACTACTTTCACTTAATATTGTAAAACATGTTTACGAAATTTAATAATCAAGGACACCACTTAAGAAAAAAAACATTTAATAGGAAAGTAAAAAATGTAACAAATATACAAAAATACTGGATCCAACTACTGATTGTCTACATCTATCAATCTATCTTTCTTTCAATCTATCAAAAAATAACTCACACATGTCTGTTCATTAATGCATGTGCAATTTCACCAAGCACTCCAAAAAATGCTTGGTTGAAGTTCAGTTTAATGAATAAATAAATAATTTATTGTACTTTTCAACATCTAAGTCACAGTTTTTTTTAATAAGTTTTAATTTTAATAATTGCATCATCGATTGTACTTGACAAATATGTACTGATGTTACTCATGGTAGTACAACGTGTACTGTGGAAAATACAGTAATACAAACTTTTTTGTATGTGCTGTTAAAGCGAATTGGTTGAAACCTGTTGTACTCACTAAATTGCATCTGCTTGAGTAACATAACACCATAACGGCTATATTTATTATGATTAACTGATAAAATTATTAACTGATAATTAGGCTGCACAAAATCAAGTTTGTGCTGCTGTTTAACGTATTGTTTTTATTGTTTAGTGCTATTAGTGCATAGCGTATTAATAGTAGAAGTTTTTTTAGTTAATGTTTTTCTTGGTTCAGATCATAGATCTTAATACTGTTTGAGTTTTACATTTAACTGTTGTATGTAACTGGGACCATGGGTATTTTGTATGACAAATCTAGAAACTAATTCAGTATTTATTAATTATTTATTTATCTTTTATTTTATAAATATAAAAGCAAGTCCTTCTCATCACAAATAAAGTGATGTGGAATGTGATTATCGCATCTGTTCTTACCAAGTACAGTACAGTTAGCATATATGCTAATTTGCATAGCATCATAGCATCGATGTTGTCGATGGCGTCTGAGACAGCCTCTTTTTTAGTTAAAATATGTCCAGAACCGATAGGATGAGTAACTTAAAATATGTTTAAAGTTAGAAAACACTCACCATCTTCAATAATTGCTTCAAGATGAGCAGTGGCCGTGTCCAAGCAACCTTCTCTCCCATTATTAGCTGGGCGATTACCATATATAGCATCCATCTGATAGAACCACTTCCAATTCTGATGGTCTGATCCGCTCCTGTCATTGTGGTCTTTAATTCTACAGTAATCGCCTCGAAGTTTCTTCAGCTTCTCCCGGCACTGCTTTAGTGTTCGATGGTAGCCGTGAGCAGCCATCAGCTCCGACACTTCTCTAAACACTCTTTCATTTCGAATCATTCCATCCAGTTCACTTAGAATTTTTTTCGTTAGCCACAAAGCACAAAAACGCCTGCACTTCAGCATTAGACCACAGATTGGACATAGTTGTTTTAAAAAACTATTAAAAAATACGCTCCTAAAAATATGCTCCTCGAGGTTTGGCTAATGGCGGGCTGTAGAAAAAATGGCAGATCTGTTGTTTTGGAAAGACTCAACAGACTCCTCCCCCCAACCAATCAGTGACCGACAGTGTTTCTGACGTTCACGGCTCGGCTCGCTTGGATGCCTTGAGAAGCCGGGCCAGAATTTATGGAGGCGAGCCGGTCCCAGGAACCATGGAAAAGACCTCAAACACGCGCCAAGCCAGAAATATCCGACCCGCGCTGTGACAGTGGAAAAGGGGCAATAGTCCCTCCAGCGTGTCCTGGGTCTTCCTCTGGGTCTCCTCCCGGTGGGTCATGTCCGAAACACCTCACCAGGGAGGTGTCCAGGAGGCATCCTAACCAGATGCCCGAGCCACCTCAACTGGCTCCTCTCGACGTAGGTTAGTTTGGCATATGTGCCAAACAAATTTTTTATACCATTACACTATGACATTCCTCATTCTGATGCATCCACACATATTTTCTAATTGTGCAGAGAGGAGAATCCCACATGCAGGACATATCTATAAACATGTTTAAATGGAGGCGTGTCAAGGGAGGACTTCCATATCATCCAGATGTGTGCAGGTGCACAGAAACATGCATCCGCATGGTTTAATAAATCTGACTATTTTTGTTAACATGCACTTTTCACATTTTGTCACTATGATAAATTTCAGTAAAAAAGCTGCACTTTCGTACATGAGGCATCAGTTCTTTAGAACCAGTGAACACATGGGAATCAAAGTTCAGTTCTCATGGAATAAAAAAGTTTTTTTATTTTCTTCTTTTGGAACATGAACGTGGAACTACCAACTTTGCCATTTTTGTTTCTTAAATGGTCCCAAATAGTCCTGAACACCCTCCTTCCTAAAGAGTGCTGCACTCATTAAGTGGAAGTTGTGCTTTCTTCAGTGCAAAGATTTTTTTTTACATAAATTCAGTTGTTCAAATGATAGTGCCACTATGAAAACAAAATAGATGGGGATCTAAAATAAATATTTTAAAAAATTGGTTGGATCTTTCCTAAAATAAATTTCTCCTGTTTTTTCCACCACCTTGCTTGGAAACCATGATGTGCAGAATAAAGGTCCAGACATGAACAGAACATCCACGAGCAGGGATGGTGTAGTCCAGTCTTTTTATCCACTCCCAGTGAATCCCCACCCCTCAAACATTTTGTCCACCTCTCCCTTATCAGTTTATCTGCCAAAACCATATTAATCAGATCAGTTTCACCCAGTCATTTCTCAATCATTAACTTTACATTCAGCACTGGATTGTTTTTCACACCAAGTAGCTCCTGATAGCAGCTAGAGAACAGAAACCCTTCAGCAGATAGACCACATGCCACACTCACCTGAGATGATTGCAACATGCGCCCAGCGGAAGAATCTAAGCACAGTGAAGAGGACTTTGTGTGGAGGAGTGATAGGTGGTAGATTTGGCCAGTTAGCATCAAGGCAGCCTGGAGATGCCAGCCCCACCTCCCAATGCTGAGTGAACAAGGATGCAGCATGGCACAGGGCGGGGTTAAACGGCCCGATGTAGGCATGACCATAACCCTCCATCTCTCCAAGTTCAGTCAAAGCTGAAAAAACAATAGTAATGACAGGGTGATTGATGATAGCAATCCAGACAGCACCAGAGGAAATATATTAAAGTCTTTTTTCTTGAACTGAAGTATTTCTCATTGTGTTGTTTGACAGAAAACTTGTGCAACAAAATTGAAGGTTATTTATTAAAACTGTGCAATTGTTAGTTTAATGGTAAACAAACCTTTGGAGGTGGAGCAGTCCTCATTGAGCAGTTTCACGTCATACCAATATCCTCTGCTCAGATCACCGTCACTTCGTAGCCGGGACAGCGCCAAGTTAGCTGCCGCTGTGGGCATCGCCCTGGAGAACATCGGGTCACATGCCCAGGGCCCAACCAAGGCAAGTTTGAAGGTTGCGGTATGGACGCCACTTATGCATAACACCCAAAGACAAGCCCCTAGCAAACAGGTGAGCTGCATACTGATGACCTGCAGAAAATCCATTTCATGGTTAGTTTGTGTTTCCGCTCTGCATTATACACAAAGAAGAGGGTCAAAATCAGGTTCACGACTAAAGTTAGGAAACACTTTGTTTACTGAACTCACATTAATGCAGGTTGGATAGTTCGACCAACATGGAGATTTTATTTTAAATAAACTAAAAATAAAAAATGAAGGTGTGGTTCACTGGAGTTTCAGGGTAATGCTCGCATTTTCTGCTGATATGGAACATCTCTGGGTTCTACTATTATTTAAGGTTGAGGTGATGTCACCGATTCTGTTCATAACTTTTATGGACAGAATTTCTAGGCGCAGCCAAGGTGTTCAGGGGATCCGTTTTGGTGGCCTTAGGATTGCGTCTCTGCTTTTTGCAGATGATGTGGTCTTATTGGCTTCATCAGATCATGATCTACAGCTTTCGCTGGAGTGGTTCGCAGCCGAATGCGACGCGGCCAAGATGAAGATCAGTTACTCCGAATCCGAGGCCATGGTCTTGAGCCGGAAAAGGGTAGAGTGCCCTCTCTGGGTCAGGAAGGAGGTCCTGTCCCAAGTGGAGGAGTTCAAGTATCTTGGGGTCTTGTTCACAAATGAGGGAAAAATGGAGCATGAGATCGATAGGCGGATAGGTGCAGTGTCTGCAGTGAAGCAGGCGCTGTACAGGTCTGTCGTGGTGAAGAGAGAGCTGAGTCAAAAGGTGAAGCTCTCAATTTACCGATCGATTTACGTTCCTACCCTCATCTATGGTCACGAGCTTTGGGTTGTGACCGAAAGAATGAGATCTCGGATACAAGCGGCCGAAATGAGTTTTCTCCGCAGGGTGTCTGGGCTCTACCTTAGAGATAGGGTGAGAAGCTCGATCATCCAGGAGGGACTCAGAGTAGAGCCGCTGCTTCTCCACGTCGAGAGGAGCCAGTTGAAGTGGCTCGGGCATCTGTTTAGGATGCCTCCTGGACGCCTCCCTGGTGAGGTGTTCCGGACACGTCCCACCGGAAGGAGGCCCAGAGGAAGACCCAGGACACGTTGGAGGGACTATGTTTCTCGGCTGGCCTGGGAACGCCTCGGGATTCCCCCGGAAGAGCTGGTCCAAGTGGCTGGGGAGAGGGAAGTCTGGGCCTCCCTACTTAGGCTGCTACCCCCACGACACGACCCCGGATAAGAGGAAGAAAACGGATGGATGGATGGGTGATGTTTCTGACTGTCTTTTCAAAGCCTAATCATGGTAATAAACACCATTCTTCAAAAAGCGTTCAATACAAAAACAATTGGACTTTATTTGTAACAGAAGATGTTTCGCTCCTCATCCGAGGAGCTTTCTCAATTCGAAGAGCAGAGAGTGAGAGATACAGGTTATAAGGCTGAGTGAGATAAGACACACACACAGACACACACACACACACACACACACATACTGTATATGTAGATTGGCAGTTCACACCTAAAAAACCTAAACAGTAGGTCTTTGTTCCTCTAATTCACAGTCGAGGCCCCTCTGTTCCCATCAGGTGTGAAAACTGGCTGGGGATCTGTTTTAAAGTTGCATTATATGTTTTTGAAAGTGGGAATCTGAGGCCTCCTCCTCTGTTAAGAGAGGGTTTTTCTCTTTTTACATAAATTGCTTCCTTCACCCCCCTCTCAAACCATCTGTGTTCTCGGTCCAAAATGTGCACATTTTGGTCCTCAAAAGAGTGTCCCTTATCTGTGAGGTGGAGGTGAACTGCGGAATTTTGTCCAGAGGAGGTGACTCCTGTGTTGAGTCATGCGTCTGTGAAGAGGCTGTTTAGTTTCTCCAATGTAGAGGTCTGGACAGTCCTCGCTGCACTGGACCGCATACACTACACCACTCTGTTTGTGTATGGGTGTCTTGTCCTTAGGGTGGACCAGCCTCTGTCTGAGAGTCCTGCTGGGTTTGAAATGTACTGAAATCCTGTGTTTGTTGAAGATCCTTCTGAATTTCTCTGATACTCCAGCAACATAAGGGATGACAATGTTTTTCCGTCTGTTCTTCTCCTTTTTCTGTTTATTAGTGTGTTTTGTAGATTTCCTCGCTGACTTGACAAAAGCCCAGTTAGGATATCCACATGTTTGAAGAGCTTCTTGAACAAGTTTCAGTTCCTTTTCCTTCCCTTCTGTCTTTGTGGGGACGCATTCGGCCCGATGTTGTAAAGTTCTGATGACAGAGAGTTTGTGTTCCAGTGGATGGTGGGAGTCAAACAGAAGATACTGGTCTGTGTGGGTTGGTTTCCTGTAAACTTCAATGATGAGGCTGTCCTCTCTCTCCATCTGAACCAAACAGTCCAAAAAAGGCAGCTTGTTGTCGTTTGCATCCTCTCTGGTGAACTTGATGTTGTTATCGACCGAGTTAATGTGTCTGGTGAACGCTTCTATTTCCTTGGCTTGGATTTTGACCCAGGTGTCATCCACATAACGGAACCAATGGCTTGGCTTAGTTCCCTCATAGGAGTGTAGGGCTCTCTGTTCCACTTCCTCCATGTAGAGATTGGCAACAATGGGTGACACTGGAGATCCCATGGCACAGCCGTGCTTCTGTCTGTAAAAACTGTCATTGAACTTGAAATAAGTGGTGGAGAGGCAGAGGTCCAACAGGGTGCAGATCTGGTCTGGGGTGAAGTTGGTCCTGTTGATTAAGTCATTGTCTTGTAGAAGTTGTTTTCTGACGGTTTCTACTGCTTCAGAGATGGGTATGCATGTGAAAAGAGAAGTCACATCATACGATACAAGTTTCTCCTGGGGTTAGTTTCAAGTGTTGAACTTTGTTAGCAAAATCAATGGAGTTCTTTATGTGATGAGGTGTGTTTCCAACAAGAGGAGCTAAAATACCAGCCAGATGTTTAGCAATATTGTATGTCACTGAGTTCATGCTGCTGACGATGGGTCTGAGTGGTGTTCCTTCTTTGTGTATTTTTGGGAGTCCATAAAGACAGGGAGTGGCTTCCCCTGGGTACAATCTATAATACAACGATCAATTGATTGTTTTCTCCTTTTCAAGTTTTGCAGGTAATCTGTGACTTTCTTTTTGTAGGTGCTGGTTGGGTCCCTCTTCAGGGTCTCGTAGGTGTAGGAGCGACCGTAACGCTTTTTAATTCATCATGTCCTGGATGACTGAGAATCTTCACCAGCAAACACCATTCTTGTTATTGTCCAAACAGTTTTGAGCTAACAGTTAAATAAAAAATAATACAAAAAGCGTTCAATACAAAAACAACTGGACTTTATTTGTAACAGAAGATGTTTCGCTCCTCATCCGAGGAGCTTTCTCAATTCAAAGAGCAGAGAGTGAGAGATTCAGGTTATAAGGCTGAGTGAGATAAGACACACACACATATGTAGATTGGCAATTCACACCTTAACACCTTAACAGTAAGAGTCTTTTGTTCCTCTAATTCACAGACGAGGCCCCTCTGTTCCCATCAGGTGTGAAAACGTCTTCTGTTACAAATAAAGTCCAGGTGTTTTTGTATTGAACGCTTTTTGAATTCATCATGTCCTGGATGACTGAGAATCTTCACCAGCATAATAATAATAATAATTTTATTTAAAAAGCGCCTTTCATGACACCCAAGGACACTTTACAGAAAAAAACAAAGATCAACAGGAATAAATTACATAAAGAATATAAAATACATGCACGGTGGCGCAACTGGTAGAGCTGCTGGAACCTCTGGAGAATGACAATTATGTGGGAGAATGACTAGAACAGAGGCACAGAGCCTAGGACAAAGACTGTCATATGGGAAACATCAGCAAGTGAGAAACAGAGCCTCAGGAGGAACATAGAGCACGCAGGGGAATGTGCAGAACTGAGGTACGAAGCCTCTGGAGAATCGAGAGGAACTGAGGCATGGAGCCTCATGCAGAACAGTGATCACACAGGGGAACAACAGGATTGGGAGGTTATGAACCAAGGCACAGAGCCAATAATGCCAGATTAGATGGAGATGGCAGGGGATTGAAGATAAAGAGCTGGTAACAGGTGAGAGGAGCCAGCTGCTCCGATAAACACACAAGAACTAAAACAAAAAGAACCCAATAAATCTACAACTAAACTAAAAGATCTACCAACAAATAACCAAAACAAAACATCCTGACAGATCCTAAATCAAAAACTCTTAATTCACCCCACATGAAGGTGGAATGACTGAGGGTCAGGACTTGTCAATCAATCTCACTTCCACCTTACAAAAATAATTGTATCTTTGTGTGTGCATGGCTAGACGGACGGACGGACGGATTTTGATATAATTTGGCTTTTCATGCAGGTAGTCTGGTTATTTTTAACTCACATTTTTTAATGATACACAATGTCTTGACTGAACTGAAAGAACATTGGGCAACATTTGTGGTTTTTATTGTGCTATATTAATAATCTGACATTAACACAGACTGTAAAGCTGATTAGAAACAGATAGATTTTTTTTTTCATTTTGTTTTGTAAATCATTATTTAGTTAAAAAGAAGTGTGTTACTGTGTGTGTGCGTGTGTGTATTCAAGTACAAATGTTGTTTGAAATAAATCTGTGTGAAATCAAACAATCACAGATTTAGACATTGATAAGAGGATTATGAGGTTATGGAACTGAATTTTGCAGTAATCAATATGATCAGTAAGTTTTAAATTCAAAGCAGACCTTCCTAAAATAATAAAAGCTAAATAGATGCTGAAAATGTACTTACCTCAAGATTTCATTGGACCACGCAGAAAAAACTCCAGCTGAGAAATCCTGAAACCAAAGAAGGAGCAGAGAGCATCTTAATCCTGAAAGGATTTTCTTTAATCTGATTACCGGATCAGAACCGTTTTGGATGAATGGTGTGTGACGTTCAGCTGCGACAAAGATCTACCGACATGTGGACACGTTTATTTTACCTCATGACTCTACAATGTAAAACCTGATGAATTCAAAATTAGCAGATCATGCTAATGATCTGCTGATGGGGCACCATGTTCATTTGATGTTCAAAAACATTTAATTAGTGCGTTTAAAACTCGTAGAGAACAAGGGGTAGGCTGACTGGTTGGGGTCTGGGCTGTGGGTGGGCTTTGGGCCTTGGGGGGCAGTGCTCCGGTTCTCCCTGGGTTTTTTGGATTTTTTGATCAAGGTTCCTGGATGCGATGGGTTAGGGGACCCGACAGAGGCTCTGTCAGGCTGTCTGTGTGTACCTGTTTATGTCTCGGGTTGGGTTTTGGGTGGTCCCCTCTCTTGGATCAATTTGGGCCCCCCATTTAATGTGGGGTCTACTTCCCCCTGTTGCGCTCCCCTCTTGAATATTTTGGGTGATATTTTTATTAAACTTTATACATTCAACCAAATCATAAAATTTTAAAAATTTCAACTGATGAAATTATGTATTTGTTGGGTGACTACAGCACTTCCTATTAATTATTCTTATATCTCTTTTTTGTAAAATAAAAAAAGGATTCGCAATTGTTTTGCATGCGTTTCCCCAAACGTGAATACAATAGATTAAATATGGAAAAATCGTTACATTATTCATTCAACCTTTATTTAGACAGGTAATCCCATTGAGCCTCGAGGACTCATTTACAAGAGAGACCTGATTTCAACATTATACAATATATACAAAGCTTTGCCATTCAAAAACTAGTTTCCTTTATACAGTAATGCAACTGATTTTATTTTTATTCTTAAGTAATTTACATGAGATTTCCACGTCAGCTTCTCATAAATAACGACAACCAAAAATTTTATTCCATTAACTATGTATTTCAATACTGTCAATTTTAAATGGGACTTTGATCATTTTATTTCTATTACTAAATATCATATAGGTTTTTGTTTTTTTCTTTGAAATTTAATAATAACTTATTATCCAAAAAAGTTAAATCTGGTCCTCTGGACATTCAAAAAACAAAACAAAGCAAAAAAACAAAAAAATGTAGAAACGTTTTGTCTTCCATCTGTTGGATATTTCTTATCTAGACTGGTCCTATGGTTTTGATCTGCTCAGAGACAGGATTATAATGAAATTATGACCCGGTTCTGACTGGGGTAAACTGGGTCAGCAACTCTAAAGAGAGTCTCCCTGGGATTTCAATATCAGTCAAGGAGTAGAGTTTAATCTGCTTGCCACATCACGTAGAGAGGCTTTTGAAACACGTCTCATATTTCCTAACACACATCAGAACCACATAAGATCCATTGAGATCACAATTAGTCACGCCTCCTCATGCACCGCCAGGTTGAGCTCCCTTCTACGAAGGAGGAGTCCAGGGCCCTATAAATGAGTAATGACACGGGACATCGGGGCTTTTCCGGGTCTGTGAACGAGTCATAGACCAGAGAGTCCAGCACTGTAAATTGTAAACTTTTCCTGCCTTTTTTTAATATAATTGATAAAACTTAATTGATGTTTCCTTGATTTATTGATATTGTGAGTTGCCACTTCTGAGAGAGATTTGAGCCGGGGGGAAAGACGTGGGCTGGAGGGGGTTTCCGGGTCCCGTGACCCGCAGCCAGCTCTCGTCTTTAACACATCTGAAAGACTTCCTCAGTCTGAGGTGCTGTATTCAGCTCAGTCTTATAGGGTGCATTCACACTAGCCCTGTTTAGTCCACTTTAATCAAACTCTAGCTCGTTTTCCTAGAAAGTCCGGCTCGTTTAGGGAGGTGTGAACGCGCCATCGAACTCTGTCACGGAACAAAAAGGCGAACTCTGGCCCAGGCTAAAACCTAGGTCTCGGTCCGGTAGAAGCAAACTCCAGTGCGGTTCGAGTACAGAGTGAATGTAAACAGACCGGACCCCGCTCCGCAGGACAAACACGCATTTCTCTTACCTTATATGGAGCCGTCAGCTGTCTTGTGTGGAAAAACAATATTCTCCATGGTCTTCCGTCTCATCTTCTGCTCATGCGAAGTCCATTTTTGAAAAATTACAAAATATAACTCCTAAAACTGCTAAAACTTGATGCCACTTCATTTAATTTTTATTTACAGGAGAAGAAGAAGACGTGTCTTCAGAGGTTTTTGTGTCGTTTCTTTCAGTAGTTCTTGGTGCAGCACCCCCACAGGCGAGCGGGGGAATAGGTTGGTTCAACAGGTTGACTCGACTGCACAGTGCAGTGTGAATGCAAACGCTCCAGCTCAAATGTAAACAAAAGCTCATGAATATTGGTCCTGAACCGAGTCTACCGGACTATCTAGTGTGAAAACGACCATAAATAACACCTTCTCAAAATGGATTAACCAGTTTTGCTGCTGACAACCAAAACCAGCTGCTCTCATGATCAAGAAGGACCATCAGCCTAACGATGGATCATTAGCACACTGATGGCTGTTTACTGTTCACAGAGGCTGAGTGATACTTGCAATAACAGCATTGTAAGAGGGGGACAGTTGAACACGGAGGCTCCACCCCTGTTTAATGATGGATGGTTTCTTTTCACAAAGATGGCCACCTTTACTCCTCTCTCAAACCATCATTCCTCTCTATCCAGAATGTGAACATCATCCCTGAAAGAGTGATCTCTGGCCAGGAGATGAGTGTAGACATCAGAGTCCTGATCTGATGGTGTTGCTCTTCTGTGCTGGTCCATGCTTTTGGCCAGTGGCTGTTTAGCTTCCCCGATGTAAGACTGATCACCCTCCTGACACTGAACAACATACACAATATTACTCTGTTTGTGCCGGGGGACTGGATCTTTGAGATGAACTAGTCTTAAATGTCCTGATGCATGCTCAATAATCCAGGTAGAAAAATCTAAAAAAGTTAAACTTTAGTTTAAAAAGTTTAACTTTTTTTAGATTTTTCTACCTGGATTATTGAGCATGCATCAGGATATTTTGAACCCCTTTGGCCAGGATGCCTCAAACTAGTTAGAGAGTTGGAGAAAACAGCAAGGAAGAGGGCAGACTACAGGAACAATTTGCGATTCAACCTCAGATGTCGACAAAGTGGCATCATTCCCAAGAGCCTGGAACTAAAATCTTCAGTCAGTGGGCACCGGGTAAGCAAGATCCTTCAGAAGGCACAAACCAAGCTGCTGAATGAACGGGTGAGACAGACCAATTTTACTATTGAGGCCTTGAAGGCCAAGGAAGAGTGCATTAAACAAAAACTAACAACGTGCCTAGATAAGACCACACTTCAGCAAGTGATGGACTGTACAGATCAGGCACGCTTAGCACAGCATGTCAAGTCCAAGACTCGACAACAAAAAAAGTTTAACGTACTAATAACTCATCAACACCATCACTATTCCAATACCAACACATTCAGTGTAGGACAACACTCCAGTAGTCAATTACAAGCCAGGGAGACAGAAAAGTGGGTGAAGAATTTATATGGCAGACAGCTCACCCAGACAAAGACAGAGATTCTTGCAAGGGGACTGAACTTTGCGGTTGCACCAAGTAGAATTCCTCTGGTGGAGATGATCACAGCTACTGAGTCAGCAATCCGCAACAAAAAAATTAAAGAGGCTGAAGCAGAACAGCTCAGAATCAAAGTTTCAGCCTGCCTCAGCAATGCCAAACCACCACCTGCCAACATCAGTAGAGAGGAGAGGGACGCACTCACCACTCTTAGCAAGGACAAAAACATCATCATTCTCCCAGCAGACAAAGGAAGGTGCACAGTGATTTTGAACCAGAAAGACTATCATGAGAAAGTTATGACACTCCTTAGTGACTTAAACACTTATGAACCTCTGAAAAGAGATCCAGGAAGTGGTTACAAGAAAAAGTTGATAGATTGCCTGAAAATTTTGGAGCAGGACAAGGCTATTGACTGTTTTCTTTACCACAGACTGTACCACAGACTGTACCCAGTGGAGGCCACACCTAGTCTGTATGGTTTACCTAAAATCCACAAACAAGGTGTACCTTGAAGACCAATTGTTAGCATGAATAACTCTGTCACTTACAATGTTTCCAAATATCTTGCATCTGTACTCATCCCTTTAGTTGGCAGCTCAGAACACCACATACAGAACACCATGGACTTTGTGGACAAGGTGAGGGATGTCATCATGGAGACTGATGAAACAATGGTCTCTTTTGATGTCACATCACTCTTTACGTGCATTCCTGTTGATGATGCAGTAGAGGTGGTCAGTTTAAAATTAAAATCAGACACCACTCTGAGCAGCAGGACCACACTTTCTACAGAACAACTGTGTCAACTCTTGAAACTGTGCCTGCAGTCAACCTACTTCACATATGGGGATCAATATTATAGGCAGAAACATGGGTGTGTTATGGGGTCTCCAGTTTATCCTATTGTTGCCAACCTGTACATGGAGGAGGTAGAAAAGAGAGCCTTGACGTCCTTTTCAGGGACACCACCAAGTCATTGGTTCAGGTATGTTGACAACACCTGGGTTAAAATTAAATCTCAGGAAGTCCAACATTTTACTGACCACATCAACTCTGTGGATAAATAAATCAAGTTCACACGAGAAGATGAAAAATATGGCAGGTTGGCTTTCTTGGACTGTGAGGTCTCAGTCTCTGATAGAGGACATTTGCAAACTGAAGTGTACCACAAACCCACCCACACAGACCAGTATTTGCAGTTTGACTCCCATCACCCTTTGGAGCACAAGTTAGGAGTCATCAGGACTCTGTATCACAGAGCAGACAGCGTCCCCACTAGCTCAGGAGCCAGGCAGAAGGAGAAATCCCACACAAAACAGGCTCTAGAGCAATGTGGATATCCTAACTGGGCCTTCCTGAAAGCAGAGAAGAAACCCAAACAGGACTCCAGTCAG